ATTATTGAGTAACTAGATCCACTAATCAACATTGTTGCTAATTAAAGAAGTCTACCAACTTATAGACCGATGAGCCACGTGCTCATGGTAATCTCTTGTCTGACCGGACACCACTTGCTCGGACATTCGCTTATTGGGACACATATGTGCCCGGACCCAACTCGATGACCCTACAGATAGCCCCAACTCGATGACCCTACGTATGGCCCCGACTCAAAGACCCGACTTGCGAACCCAATCTGCGGATCTGACACATAGACCCAATATGTGAACTCGACAAGCGGACCCGAGTCATGTCGAGAATCAACTCATACTGAGTGCATGTCGACATAAAGTAGATAGTTGCAATGAGGAATACCTGTTTCCATTTTCAGTGGAACAAGAATTATTGAAGAGGGAGATTGGGAGGCTACGAGCCTTGTATCAGCAATAACAACAGCAGCATCAATAGCAGCGACCTTCTTCTAGCCATAGCCACTCTAACAGCAGAGACCTTGATTCCCAATTTGCAAACTTGTATTTGAAACACAAGGATGCAAATGCAGGTCGTGAACCTGTAACAGGCGCACTTCGCATTTAGATGTCCAATGTAGCCAAAAGTTGTGGTTTGCCTCCACTTTTCTTCCACTAATCGATGTTGCATGCCACGTCTGACCAAGTTTCTTGCTTCCCTTGTGTGGGATAAGGCCGAGCTATTCCATTCCCGGCGCCTTCTCTCTCTGTCTCTCTCTTCACCTTGTGCGATTTGATCTAGCCGAGCCGCCTCGCAACGAGCATAGCCTTCAGCCGAGCAAACGCCTCGCCGCAAGCATAGCCTCTAGTCGAGCATCGCCTCCAGCCGAGCAGTCTCGTAACGTGTGATACCTCTAGCCGAGTATTGCTTTATGTTGAACATTGTCTTGGGTTGAGTACTAGTTCAAGACATTTAGCCACTTCGGCCCGTACATGGATTGGATTTGAAGTCTCCAGCTAAAAGATTCTCTTGACTGAAGACTTGGGGACTACTGTTGGTACCACACATATTGGGCCTCAGACTTTGATACATTAGGCCTCATTACCCAGCCCATATGATTATGTAAAAGGAGGAGCCCCTTATTCTATAAAAAGGGACTCTTCCCCCCTCACAAATCGAACTCTGTGAACCCAACAGAGGGCAATACCCTCACAAACACAACACTCTCTTTCTCTGGGGGACTCCCCCTCACCTTTGTAATCCATACATACAGTTATAGAGAAATACAATCAATATCAGTGTGGACGTAGCCCAAACATTGGGGTGAACCACGATATATCTTGTGTTATTTACTTTCTTGTAGATTCACGGTCGGATTTATGTTGTTCCAAGACCCCTCCGGTTTTGTGCATCAACAGAAGTCAAGTTCTACCAAGTGAGGAGGTTTTGGCCATTCAGACACCCATTGCACACTTTCCTGCCTCACTTAGCTACTCGCTAAGTCACTAAACATATTCGTCTCTTGGTAAGAGAAAAGATTTTTACTCTCGGCAAGCTTATTACAATAAGAGGGATAAAGGTTTGTATCAAGACAACCAGGAGTGAACATAACTTCAACTATTATGATATAGGATCAAGCCTCGCTTTTTCAAAATAGAAAGACTAGATGCTGAAGGAAATGTTATTATAAGAAGTCATACACAATACAAATGTTTTGACCTTCAACTGTTTGAGATCTTTTGTAACACAAGCCATTCGGGAAATATTTAAAGAAGAGGGAAGTCAGACAACTTCGTTTGAGTATTTTACATTCCTAGCATTGGAACACTTAGCCTATGCTGACCTACCTCTATACTCTAACTCAGAGCTTCAACATGCATACTTTGACACAAAGTAAGTGAAACTAAATGTTACAACCAACATGGTTCACATATCCAAAGCATAGAATCCTTCATGCATAGCAAACATTCAAAAGTATCACTCATGTCAATCAACATAAACATCATACATTTCAACACATTCATACATAAGCCAACTAAGCTTCGAAAAGGGTCAACATACTTTGTGTCATTTGACACTTGCTACAATGTGCCTTGGCACCTTGCCCCTATTCTCACCAACCAGATGATAAAGGAACTCACCTTCGTATCACCAACCAGGTGATGAAAGGTACGACCTATACTATAATATCATTCAGGAACTTGCCACTTTTATCACCAATTAGGTGATGAAGGATCTCACCTTCGTATCACCAACTAGGCGATGAAGAATACAACAAGTACTATTAAAAACCTTCAAGCCTTACAGCTCAAAAGAGGGATAAACAAGCTTAACTTAACCCAACTAGGGGAGCACTTATGCCCAACAATGGCTTTAGTCACCAACAAAGTCTTATTGCAAGTCAACAAAGGCTCAATGCATGGTATACAAAGATCAAGCTCTTCAGCCCTCTTGCACCTGCTCCAGACATTTCCCCTTTATAACAATGTAAACACTACAACTCATAGAAAGCTTCACACTCTTGATCAAGATTGTGTGAAGCAAAATTAATTTATATAGTTCCTTCGAACCTTCAACTACTACAATGTGTAGCTTACCTTGTATACTCTTGCTCAAGAGTGTGTGAAAGCAAAATCTATATATATTGTCTCTCCCACATTTTCATGTCCCTAATTCAAAAAAAAAAAATATCTGCCAAAAAAAAAATTAAATAAATTTGCAAAACAAAATTCAAAATTAATTAATTAATAATTATTTTGATAATTATTAATTTTTTAATTAAGCAATTAATTAATTATTAAAGAGGTCGCACTTGGTGCGATGGCAAGTGCCTTCGCCCATGAGCGGTAGGTCTCAGGTTCGAGACTTGGGAGCAGCCTCTCCATAAATGGGGGTAAGGCTAGCCGACATTCACCTCTCCCAGACCCTGCGTAAAGCGGGAGCCTTGTGCACTGGGTACGACCTTTTTTTTAATTAATTAATTATTAATTATGACATGTGGAGAAGGCTAAGGGAGAGAGCTGAGCTTCCCACACCCTTGAAGGGAGAGAGCTTCCCACACCCTTGAAGAAAGAGAGTTTCCCACACCTAAGGGAGAGAGCTTCTCACACCCTTGAAGGGAGAGAGCTTCCCACACCCTTGAAAGGAGAGAGCTTCCCACACCCAAGGGAGAGAGCTTCTCACACCCTTGAAGGGGGAGAGCTTCCCACACCCAAGGGGGAGAGCTTCCCACACCCAAGGGAGAGAACTTCCCATACCTAAGGGAGAGAGCTTCCCACACCCTTGAAGGGAGAGAGCTTCCCACACCCAAATGGGTGAGCTTCTCACACTCTTGAAGGGAGAGAGCTTCCCACACACTTGAAGGGAAAAAACCTTCACACACTTTGAGGGAGGAAGCCTCCCACACCTTGAAATGAGGAAGCTTCACTCTTTGCCTAACTACAAAAAATTTAAAAATCCTTCCACACTCTTGCTCAAGAGTGTGGAAGCAAAATCTATTCATGTGGTTCAAAAAAGCTTCAACCGAAAGTTTCAACAAAAAATTCAAAAAGCCTTCCACACTCTTGCTCAAGAGTGTGGAAGCAAAATCTATTTATGTGTTTCAAAAAAGCTTCAACCGAAAGCTTCAACAAAAAATTCAAAAAGTCTTCCACACTCTTCCTCAAGAGTGTGGAAGCAAAATCTATTTATATGGTTCAAAAAAGCTTCAACCAAAAAGGCTTAACCTATAAAGTTTCAACCAAAAAGGCTTAACCTATAAAGCTTTAACCAAAAAGCTTCACCTACAAAACTTCAACAAAAAAACTTCACCTACAAAGTTTCAACAAAAACGTTTCACCTACAAAGTTTCAACCAAAAAGCCTCACCTACAAAGTTCAACCAAAAAGCTTTACCTACAAAGCTTCAACCACTCAAGCTATGTGCCCAAAGGAACAAGCTTCACCTACAAAGTTTCAACCAAAAAGCTTCACCTACAAAACTTCAACCACTCAAACTATGTGACCAAAGGAAAAAGCTTAACCATTCAAGAATATCAAGCCACCTCCTTCGGCTATCCTCTTTACTTGGAAACTTGGGGGACTCCTATTATATGTTACTACACTTCGGTACTCATAAGTTTCGTGATTACTCAATGACTTGGATTTTTCAAGTTCCTAACCAAGAAGCTTTCCTCACTCGGGAACTTAGGGGATCACTGTTTGTACCATACTTGACCAATCCTGAAACCACCAAGCACCGGTCAACTTCATACCTTGAAGGATCCATTGAAGGTTCATGTTGAGGCACCCCTGCCGAAGCACAAAAGTTTCCCTCTAACCGGGAGGCCAATCACAACACGACAGTCAGAATAAAGTTCATAGAGTCCCGCGTCGATCGCAAACAAAAGCTAGAGACTCTTCTTAACTATAAAAGAAGATCATTCTCCTACAGTTAATTCCTAATGTCATTATTGTATTTAAACTAGTTATTAGTACTCACTAATGATGATTATGCTTGAACCTATGTATTTGTGTAAACCCTTCATTATTAATGAAAACTCATCTACTTCGTAGACGTAGCCAAACTTAGGATGAACCATGTACATCTTGTGTTTTCTTCCCTATTTCTATCTATTTACATATTATTCTCACCAAGTGACCAGAGCAACTAAGCGAAAGTCACAAACTTAATACTTTACGTTGTTCCAAAGTCTTTACTAATTTTGTGCATCAACAATTTGCATTTTTATTTTCATTCCCAAATCTTTTCGTAAATCTTTTCGTTGTTGAAAATATTACAAAAGATCTTTACTGCACATGAATAAGTTGGTAACATTAAGCGATCGTGTTAGTTCGGTAACATTACACGGTCCTGTTAGATCGGTAACATTACGTGGTCATGTTAGGTTGGTAACATTACGCGGTCGTGTTAGGTTACAATGAAAAGTTTGTCGACTAATCTTTGTAACCCAATTGCCAAAAGTTTTCACATCCTCCAGTTTACGTCGAGCATCCGAGCCTTAGGCTTGAAAACCGGACGATTGATGGAAACTCGAAAAAGCACCAGATGCGTAAACAGCTCGAGCGACCCACGAGCCATAAGAACATTGAAGACTTGAATGTCGACTATTTGATTGTTATAAGGACATTCAAGATGAACATGGCTTACAATTACAACGCAATGATCCTCCATACTTTTCCTTTGAAAAATGTTATTTATTTAGCGCAAGCTATGCAGCTCATGGACACCATCGAATAGCTGCAATAACGAAGAACAATAATACCATCGAATAATTTAACTTGGCTTTTTCCACGGATTATCCCCGTAGTAGTATGCACTGCCAACCATAAGAGCCACTGTGGCACCTTGGACAACGACACGAGCTCTCATTAGCTTCTGGCCCAACTGAGAATTGCCTTGCCTGAAACTGATTAAGCCGGCGGTGAGCACACCAGCAGTCAACATCGCACCTGAAAAGTTTAGTTTTAAAGAATTATCCGAAATGAATCTCATTTTAATTAATAAAAGCGACACAAATAACAGCTTTAACACTAGGAAATCATCTGCAAGAATAATTTTGACAGACAAGGAAGCAGAAAGCACACCAATTTGGCATCATTCGACTATCAAATTGTTGCAATTAAACATTTATGGGTTCAGATCCTCTCCGGATCCTGCAGACCAAGTTATCTTAGCTGTTTGATTCAAATCATGCAGTCCGAAATATTTCTCCCCCCCCCCCTTTTCTCTCCCTTCCTATTCCTCTGGTGCAGATTCCCTTCCTCTCTACTCATCCGATCAATTCCTCGTCTTCTTCCTCCTCCTCGTACATCCCTGTGATTTTAGAGAGAGAGATGGTCGGCTGGCAAGGCCTGTGTTTGTTCTGTTCGGATCCTCCATTTTCAGATGTACTACGATAGCCGCAGTTGGGGCGCCATTCTTGCCGACATCTACTCTCGTAGAGATATGTTTCTCTCTCTCTCCACCTGTTTTCTGATTTGGGTCGTCAATTTTTCACTGCAAAAATTAAGAAACAACTCTAAGGTTGCAATCTTTGAGGATGAGGAAGAGGAAGGACAAAGAGGAAGTGGAAGAGGAAGGGGAAAGAAAGAGGAAGAAGAAAGATGTTTGCACCATAGGAAGAAGAAGAAGGGAAAGAAAAGAGGGGAGGAAAAAAGATTTCTGATTGCAGGATTTGAATCAAACGGCCAAGAAAACTTGATTCGCATGATCCGGAGGACACAGATCGGGAGATGATCTGATTCCCACATTTATCGCTTGAAACCATACACAAAAGAAAACATTTTTCTCTCTGTTTAATCAAGTTCAAAGGAAAATTTAAAACGAAAAGACGATCCATAAGCTCCGGATTAAGAATACACTCTGAAGTTTGAACCAGACCCGTACCATAATATCCAGCATACAAATGTCCCCAGTTGTTTTCATCACCACTACTACAGTTTTCTAGGACCCGAGTGACTTCCATTTCGCAATCTAAGTAGCACTTCTCCTTGGAAAACTTCTGCATTCTCTTAAATTTTCTCGTAATATCTCATTTTTAAGACTAGACTAAACGTCAGTCTCATACCTAACCTTCACTCGGTCAGCACCCCAATAACAAGGACCCCGTAACGTTTCAAAATAACAAAACTCTGTTGCATCTCGACAAAAGGCATAGGTTCAATAATTCTACTGGAATACTCAACTGTCATTGCCAAATGAAGACGTTGCCACTGCACTGGATACTAACAAAAATGTCCGAAGACTTCTCCAAATTCATAGACAGCAGACAGAGAATTTACGAGAGACGATTGACATTAAACTGAAAACTGTATTCTACATTCTATCCAAATGGCCAACAATTCAAAAACCAGACTAAATTAGCTCCTACTTTAACTTCCACCAACCTATCCCAGATAAGAATTAGCTCTCTTTTCCACAGCTAAAGCAATGAAGTTCAAATAAATTTCGAAATATATAAATATATAGTTGATTTTAATTGCTAATGATAGATTAACCAAGAAAGAAGCTTTACAAATACCCTTTCACCAGAATTTAATCATCTAATTAATTAACTTTTCCAAATTATTAGCTTTATATAAAATCCCAAATCACCAAAAATTCAAACAAACACGAGACTTTACGATCACATATGCATAAAACTCATATCAAACCTCACAATTTGAACAAAACAATCACAGGAAACAAATTGCCGAAAGATAGTGAAGGAATCAAAGTGGGAATTTACCAACTGGTACCCAAGGGTTGCGGACCCGCTTCTTCTCCTCGTAAAATACTTCTAACGTGGGATCCACCTCACTCATCTTCTCCATACGCAGAACGCGAGAATTGCAGAAAATGGTCAAATCAATTAGGGATCGCGAACCGTAAATTGGAAATCAGAAGAAGAAGAAAGCAGAGACCGAGAGAGTGGAAGGGTCCGATTCGCGGGTTATTGGAGTTAAAAGCTGAGCCCGATTGATAACAACCCCTAACCCATATAGATCCGCCCAACTCATGCCTAGGCCCAACTAGGGGCCACGTCTCTATATTATTAATCAAAACCAGGGTTTAAAATATTGACTTAGGTGAAAATATCAATATGTAAATTTATAGAAATATAGATATTGATATCTGTTGTTCTCGACAGAAATTATGAAAATTTCCAATGGGGTCGATATATTAACTTATTCAGATTTAGTAAAAATCTGCAATGGGCCACAACAAAATTTTTGTAGTGAATCAGTAAATATTATTAATAGTTTTGATGAGTTCTTCTTTCTTTTATCATATAGGAGCCGTGCAAGATGAGAGTTTTCAGTTTTGAATGAGAAAAAGAAGTGAGGAATCCTCTTTTCAACTCTAACTCTCCCACTCCAGATGTTGCTTTTTTTTCTGTTACTTTCGAAAGTAGCTACTTCAGCTTCAGGCACCCGAATTTTTTATATTCCTTTTTATTTTTCATCAAAAGAATGGCATCTCCTTACAGAAATCCTAACTATTCTTGGTATGATATCGGGGAATTGGATATGTAATTATTGGAATAATTGTTGGAGAATCAAATGGTGGATATGCAAGCATGATAACTTATATGCTGTTTTATATCTCCATGAATCTAGGAACTTTTGCTTGCATTGTATCATACGTACCGGAACTGATAACATTCGAGATTATGCAGGATTATACACAAATGATCCTTTTTTGGCTCCTACATCTCACTGAAATAAAGTAAAGTTTGCATTTTACCCTCCCTTTCCATATTGATCTTTAATTTATCAAATATTTCGACAAGAATATACAATTTCATGTATATTTTAAACACTGATCAAAACACATCATCTGCACAGAAGAAGTGTTTACCCAAATAAAGAAAAAGATATTTTATAATTTACCAGTGTTTACTGTAACTTTTTAATGATAGATGACATAAAAAATGAATGACTAAAATTGAAAATAATATGAAAATTAAATTTAATAATTAAAATATAATGTAGCAGACTAGTATTGAAACCACACCCTTTTTAGTGTGATTGTTACACCTCTGTCTATTTCAACAGTTAGTTTTATTAAAAATCGTCATGTAGAGAAAAATTTGGTGAACACACCCCATTCTTGTGTCCTTGCCAATGACGCAACGTTCGATAGGGAAAATTTTACATTGTCATAGTATTGACATGTGTTGGTACCATATTATATTGGGCCTCGTTACTTGAGCTTTCAGACATTGAACCCATGATTTATGTAAAAGGGGAGGAGCCCTTAGTCTATAAAAGGGCATCATCACCCTCACAATCCTGAGGCCTCACATCCCCAAACAGAGGCTCTCATATTCAGAGCAACTCTCTCACAAACAGAGAGACTCTCTCAAACTCTCTCTTTCTCTGGGGGACTCCCCCTCACACTTATACTTCATACATTCATACAGAAAAATACAATCAACATCAGTGTGGACGTAGCCCAAACATTGGGGTGAACCACGATATTTCCTGTGTTCTTTACTTTCTTGAAGATTCACGGTCGGATTTACGTTGTTCCAAGACCCCTCCGGTTTTGTGCATCAACATTTGGCGCCGTCTGTAGGAAACGACACGAAAAGTTATGTCGGTTCTCTTTCATTTTTTCATCTCACAACCGTAAAAACTTCACAACCTCCACCGTGAATCTGTAGAAACCCAAGAACCAAACACATGCACAGTCACTGCAAAACCCATGTCTTCCGCTTCAACTCTCGGTCACGACCAAGGAAAAAAATATCGGTAATATCGGAAATATCGGTAGTCCGAAACACGGAAATATCGGGATAATATCGATATCGATAAAAATTACATGGAAACCACAAAAATTGTAAGAAAAACTTGGAAAATTTTAATGAAACTTTGCAGGATGTTTATTTAGTCAATTATCTATTAGTTTATCACAAAAAATTGGAAGGAAATGCATTGCATGATGGATTTAACTGATTTAAGTTGATTATATAGCAAGCTGGCAAACATTGTGAGTGTAGAAAATATGTAGTAATTAATGAAAGAAGTTTAAACACACCATAATCATTTATATATAATTAATTAGTACAATATTGAACTCCGCCTATGTATCTTACATTGCCGGTCCCAAGCCCGGATAAAGGAGGAGGGGGAGGGCGTCAGGTAGTCGACAGCCGGCACTCCATGATCACGTCGAATCCTTATGAAAATGAATCCAGAACAAAATCGCGCTAAAGCTAGGGCGTCACCCGTAAGTGGCGCGCTGTGTGGCCCGAGCACAGTGATAAATGAGCAAGGGTCGCTGTATCTCCATCGGCACCCGGATGCAGTGTTAAATGAGCAAGGGGGCCATAGAAACTTCTTTTCGAACGACTCCACTCAAAGTTGTTTGGGAGCATATGCTCCTATCAACTTTACACGGGACACACAAAAGAAGTACTTTGATCCTATTAGACGGGGGAGGGTGAAGAAGCTAGGACAAAAGGGTAGAGTTCAAGAGAGCAAAATGCGTTTAGGAACGTGGAATATAGGAACCTTAACGGGAAAATCTATGGAAGTAGTGGAAGTTATGGTGAGGAGAAGGATAAATATTATGTGCCTACAAGAAACTAAGTGGGTTGGTAGTAAGGCAAAGGATCTAGAAAACTCAGGGTTTAAACTTTGGTATTCGGGCACAAATAGAACGAGAAAACGGTGTTGGCATCATCGTGGACAAGACCATTGACACAAGATGTTGTAGATGTCAAGAGGGTAGGAGATAGAATCATGGCAATCAAGATTGTAATAGGACAAGAACTTATCAATGTGATTAGTGCGTACGCACCTCAAGTAGGGTTGGATACGAGTTCGAAGGAGAAATTTTGGGAAGACCTTGGAGACTTGGTGCAAGGAATTGCTCAGACGGAGAAGTTATTTATAGGAGGAGATTTAAATGGACACGTGGGCAGGGAGACAGGCAACTATGGAGGTTTTCATGGTGGCCATGGTTTTGGGGAGAGAAACGAGGATGGGGAAGCTATCTTGGATTTTGCAATGGCATATGATCTCTTCTTAGCCAACACCTTCTTTAAGAAGAGAGAAGAACATGTGATCACCTACAAGAGTGGGTCGTCAAAAACACAAATAGATTTTCTTCCTAATGAGGAAAGGGGATCGTATAACTTGTAAGGATTGCAAAGTTATACCAGGAGAGAGCGTGGCTAATCAACATCGCTTGTTGGTGATGGATGTACATATCAAAAGAGTGAGACAAAAGAACAAGACTTGGAAGTGCCCAAGGACTAGATGGTGGAATCTAAAAGAAGAAAAACAAGCCATTTTCAAAGAGAAAGTAATCACCCAGTGTGTGTGGGATAGAGAGAGGGAAGCTAGCCAAATGTGGGATTCCATGGCTAGTTGTATCCGAAAAGTAGCAAAAGAGGTATTAGGAGAGTCCAAGGGCTTTGCCCCACACCAAAAGGAATCTTGGTGGTGGAATGAGGAGGTACAAACAAAGGTGAAGGCTAAGAAGGAATGTTGTAAAGCCTTATACAAGGATAGGACCGATGAAAATGGTGAAAGGTATAGAAAAGCGAAGCAAGAGGCGAAGAAAGCTGTGAGAGAAGCTAAGTTAGCGGCTTATGACGATATGTATAAGCGACTAGATACCAAAGAAGGAGAGTTGGATATCTATAAACTAGCTAGAGCAAGGGAAAAGAAGACAAAGGGACCTAAACCAAGTGAGGTGCATCAAGGATGAGGATGGAAAGGTTCTTGCTACAGAGAACGCGGTTAAAGACAGATGGAAAGGTTATTTTCATAATCTTTTCAATGAAGGACATGAAAGGAGTGCTTCTTTAGGGGAGTTGAGTAACTCAGAAGAGTGTAGAAACTACTCTTTTTTATCGTAGAATCCGGAAGGAAGAAGTGGTTGTAGCTTTGAAGAAGATGAAGCATAGAAAAGCAGTAGGCCCAGACGATATACCAATCGAAGTGTGGAAAGTTTTGGGAGAGACAGGTATAACATGGCTCACTGACCTTTTCAATAGGATTTTGAAAACGAAGAAGAAGATGCCAAATGAGTGGCGAACGAGCACTTTGGTGCCTATCTACAAGAATAAGGGCGACGTACAAAATTGCATGAACTATAGGGGTATTAAGCTAATGAGTCATACAATGAAGCTCTGGAGAGAGAGTCATTGAGCATAGATTGAGGCAAGAGACACGGGTTTCGGACAACCAATTCGGGTTCATGCCAGGGCGCTCAACCATGGAGGCAATCTATCTCTTACGAAGATTGATGGAAAGATATAGAGATGGGAAAAAGGATTTACACATGGTCTTTATAGATTTGGAAAAAAGCGTATGATAGGGTCCCAAGAGACATTCTTTGGAGGATTTTAGAGAAGAAAGGAGTACGAGTAGCATATATCCAAGCTATAAAGGATATGTATGAAGGAGCAAAGACTGCCGTAGAACTCATGAAGGACAAACCGAAAGCTTTCCCATAACTGTAGGATTACATCAAGGCTCATCCTTAAGTCCTTACCTTTTTGCGTTGGTAATGGATGAGTTAACAGGACATATTCAAGATGATATTCCTTGGTGTATGCTTTTCGCAGACGATATAGTGTTGATAGATGAAACTCAGGAAGGGGTAAATGCAAAGCTTAACCTTTGGAGAGAAGTGTTGGAATCTAAAGGTCTTCGCCTAAGCCGATCAAAAGACAGAATATATGGAGTGCAAGTTCAGTGCAAATGGAGGCCAAAACGAGTTAGGGGTGAGGATCGGAGATCAAGAAATACCAAAGAGCGACCGTTTTCGTTACCTAGGATCTATCTTGCAAAAGAACGGAGAATTAGATGGAGATCTCAACCATAGAATACAAGCTGGATGGATGAAGTGGAAGAGTGCATCCGGCGTGTTGTGTGACCGCCGTATGCCACTGAAGCTCAAGGGAAAATTTTATAGGACGGCAATAAGGCCGGCGATGC